ATCCTATTTTAAAATCAGAAACAAAAGAGGAACAGGCAGAGGAGGTTAAGAGCACTTGAATAATGCTTGTTCCCATACCCATAGCTAGTCCCTTTTGTGAGTGAGAAATTATTTTCACTGCAGACATCCCTTATGAATCTTAAGCTCAGTGTATGATGGGAAGGGGCGGGAAGGAAAGTGCTGTGTGCAGACACTGAGGAGCTTCGATGGTGGGAGGAAGGGATTTCAAAGGAGAAGCTGTGCAGATTCTGAGTTGGGTTTTGGAGGGTAGAAGATATGAAACCCCACATGTACTACACACACACACACACACACACACACACACACACACACACACACACACACACACACACACACACACACACACACACACACAAAATCTTCTTTCTCACTGCTGATGGCAGCCCTGTTAACAGACTATCAGGATGGAAGCAAAGATCTCCAGGTATTAGATCATCTATTTTGCAGAATCAGGATAGAGTCCAGAAAGCCTTACCAGGAGACAGCGGGTGGTACCGTAAGAATAAAACTCTACATTCTGGAGCATCATGGAAGAGCAGCGCCCTGGGAGGTAAAAGACTAAAGTCTCAATCCTGACTGTGATACTGAACATCTGGGGGGTCTTAAGCAACTCAGTGCAATTCCACAAAGTATTTGCTGAGTGCCTTCTAGAGACAAGGGATTAAATGGTGAAAGACATAGTGTATGTCCTGAAGAAACACAATCTTGCCTAGATAAGTAAGTGCTCTGAAGGACAGGAGGTGCACTGAGGAGGGAAAGTCACTGCTTCTGCCTTGGGTGAGGCATGAGGAGGGGCTGAACATCCTCAGGGGTGGAGGGCATCACAAGAGACCCTGGCAGGATGAGCAGGCCACTGAGCCTAGAAGGTGGGGAAGGGCTTTCTACTTTCCTTCTTGAATCGCAGTTTCCCTCTGGTCGGATGATAGCCATAACACTGGATGCCAAGTTATTTAGCAAGATTCTGGAAGCAGAAACCACCAAGGATGTGGAAATCACCTTTAGAGTGTGATAACATAAGTGAAGGAGCCAATGAACTGTCTTGTTTTCTCTCACAGTTTTGTCTCTCATTGCCTGTGTTCTGCGCCGGTTCAGCTGTACTTTGAAGTTCTACCAATTAACAGAAAAGCAAGCTTTGTCTATTGGTCTTGTAATTTGTTTCTTGATCTTTGTAATATGTATAGCTTCTACTCACTGGAGGATTTTTGTTCGCTTGTTGTTGTTGTTTCTTTTTGTTTTCATTTTGGCTAAATCTCTGTTCTTTATTTTGAAAGTAGGTAAACCAAATGTTTATTTTTTCTCAGATCTCATTATGTTAATCTTTTCTTTAAAACCTATATTGTGATGAATGGTGCTTATAGAATAAGGAAGCTTTTCTCCAGAATCAAGGATCTGTCCTCAACCCACTCAGTCTTCATTTTTATACACTATCATCCAACCTCTCTGTCTACTTCTTTTCTTCCCTGTAAACACCTTTGTTTTCCTGCCTTCCTATCTTTGCTTGGGCTTTTCAATATGTCTACAATCCTCTCCTCTAACCCACTCTCTTTGTCTTCCTATTCTTCACCATCTGTCTGCCTTCATGATGAGGAACAGGTATAGTAGATCTTCCTACCTCCCAAATCAGAATTTTCTCCTTTCTCTCAAGTTCATAGTCTTCAAAGTAAACTGTATCCCAACCAGAACTCTATATCCAGCTGAACTCTCGAGGAAAAGCAAGCAATAAACATTTGCCAATCAACAATGACTGAAGGAGTTTGTTGTATGTAGACCCTCCCTGAATAAAAAGATTTATTCTCAATTGTATAGTCAGAGAATATCTTTTTATTTTAACATAGTCTAGCTACATTGCTAGCTTGAGATCAGCCATGGTGAAAATGTTTATACCACAAGAATCAGTATACACTACAAAACAGGACTCTTTCTCAACCCCCAGCAAGTGTTGTATGTGCAGGTGAGATGGTAATCTGCTTACATGCATATGTATATATATATATATATATATATATATATATGCATATATCCATATATGTATATACCTATACACATATGATATCTATCATGCACATGCATGATATGTACACATGCCTGTGTGTACATACATATTAGACACACTAAAAATGTATGATGTGGTTAAACCTGTATGTTGATAAGCAACCCTTCCTCATTAGGCTATTGGGAAAACTTCTGTGGTTGCAGTGGCTCAGAACCATCTCTACACTATGGTTCCATTTTCTCCCTCTTCCTGAGCATAGAATTTTGTTTTCTATTATTACCACCCCCACTTTTTTGTTACTCTGTCCCTGGCAAAAATATTCACTTCTTGGAAACAGAGCTCATACACTAATTGAGGACCTGTACAACCTGCTCAGTTTGCTCTTTGAAGTAGAGAGCCTTGGCTTGGCCATATGGATGTCTGTGGACAAATAGTGTGGGAGGAATTGGTGGAGTAAGGGCATCAGGATTCCTCTGCTTCAGGCACAGCCCGTAAACTGCTGTCTGTGAGTCTGCTTGCTTTAGGTTTCCTCTGCTGGCCACTGCCTGGACTGGCCTGCAGAGCCAGCCAAGATAGCCTCATGGGTTCTGTTGGCATAGAATCCAAGTTGGGTAACTGGGAGTCATGGATCAAGAGGGAAAAGACAAGTCAAGAGACATGATGCAAGTGTGGGTCATGATTAGAAGAGCCAATAAACTAAGGCACCTAAGCTGGAGGTAAAGGTGGAGTGACAGCATTGGGAGGGGCACAATGAGGTGTGGCTGGGAGGAGATAGGTAAGGGACAGGTAGAGACAAGAGAGGCAGGGGCTGGGAGAAGGCTCTGGCTCTGCCTTCTCAGACTCATAGCTCTGCTTTCTACTGAGTTGTGTCAGGCAAAAGTTAAAGTACTGGATGTATGCAGGGGATGGTTATGGCTGTGAGAAAAAGCCTTTAGACAGGAAAACAGGATCTTCTAGCTTGAGTGTATCTTTTAAAGCTCTCCACTGTCCTTCAGTAGTATTGCCTACTTCCTGCTAAGATCACCAGCATGAAAGTGCTAAGCACAATGCGTGGGACAGTGCTGCTCAGGGAGTGGGCAGTCATCAGATAATTCTCCTAGGGTTTAGACTACTAAGTCCTGCCTCTGAGGAAGGCCAACTGTATCACCACTTCCCATGCATAATGGTTATGGGCAACTTGTCAGGTAGGGGTGAATTGCCATTGTTTTTGTGTGCAGCTTTGTCTGTCTGCAAGTGCCTTCCCCTCAGTCTCTTGACCTCTCAACAACTGGGCTGTTTCTAAGGAGCACCTCTGTTTCACATAACATACACCTTGTGGGTGGAGCCAAGTGAGGCTGGCAGGACACTGGGCGATGGGATGTGACACAGGAGGGGACCAAGGATAGGTTGTACTTGCTGTCATTCCTGGGCTGGGCACCAGACTGCTACTGTCTGCATGGGCCCCGCAGCAGGATACTTACTTGCTAATTTTCTCAGTGAAAAGGAATGTGAGAGAGGTATGTGCTCAACTCTAGCATGTCATGTTTTGCATGTCATTTTCACCTGACATGCAAAGGCCCGTGGGCATGGAGATGACCTCCTGTAGCAAGGGAGAAAGGGCTTTCCCCTCCTCAGTACCTCTGTAGGGTTTTAAGTCTCAGAGTTGCTGCCCAAAATGAAAGGCCCAGGCCTGGGGGAGATGCCCAGGCCCTCAGATTCCCAGTTTTATTCTTTTACCTAGCCATGGGATGTAGATGAAGAATCCAGACAAAGAAGAACGAGTGGAGGCACTTCTGGTGGGCAGGTCACCATAGGAGCCTGGAGTGAAGCATGAGAATAGGAGGAAGGAAAATGTTTAGTCTTTCACAATGTAATTTATAGCAACTCTGACTTTTGGGGCTTGTCCTTTTGATGGATAAGGCCTCCTGGGGCCCTGACATTGCAGTGTCTCTGATGCTCTTGACAGTGCTCCCTCAGACTGACAGGGAGCTCGTGCAGGATCAACAGCTTACAGAAAAAACAAAATGGAACCCATGGAGATAAGGCCAAGACCTTCAGCCAAGGTAGTCTAAAGAAAATTAATTTTTAGAAATCCAAACCAAGTAATTAAAAGTAAAGCCAAATATTTGCTCTACCTTGAGCAAAGATGGAATGAGCCACTGAGCACCTAAAAGCCTCAGGCTCACTCCAGGAGCACCGAGGAGGAGTCTAACCTCTTATGGTCATGGTGCTTTTTATTACATTCATTTGAGGAAATGACTGTACTAAGCCATGAAGATAAGAGAAATAAGATCTAAATATAGAACAGCCATTAAACCACAGATATGTTGAAACCTCTAAGGTTGAGGAAATTCCTACTCCATTTTAAATTTCCGAATAAATAGTCATAATAATAACAGTAGTTCCTAGGACATAGAAGGTATGGAATCGTGTTCTCCTGTAAAGTGTGCTTGCCTATATTATAGAGTACTAAATATGTATCATGAAAATAATGTAGGAATAACTGCAAGTCCTGCCACTTGGCAATTATGGAATATGTCCTTCCAGATATTTTTAAATAAATGAATGTATATATTTCGTGTGTGTGTGTGTGTGTGTGTGTGTGTGTGTGTGTGTGTGTGTGTGTTGGTCTTCGGGCTTGAACTCAGGGTCTGCGGGCTGTCCTTGAGCCTTTGTGCTCAAGTATAGTGCTCTATCACTTGGGCCACAGCTCTACTTCTGGCTTTTGCTGGTTAATTGGAGATATGAGTCTCACACTTTCCTTACCTGTCTGGCTTTGAACTGCAGTCCTCAGATCTCATCCTCCTGAAGAGCTAGGGTGATAGGCATGAGCCACCAGCACCTGACTATATATTCTTCTATAACTCATGATAGTTTATAACCCATCTCCATGTCAATAAGTTGGTACTTTCTATCTAGCGTCTACTGAGTGGCACAATGTAAGGAAGGATTTGTCGATTTATATCGTTTAAGAGTTGGCCCTTCTCATGTGCTGTTCTTTCTTTAGCAGGTATCTTCTGCAGAGGTACGCATCGGACCCATGAGACTGACACAGGACCCTATCCAGGTATGCTTCTGTTCCCCAGTAGGGGCTTTATTGTCAGGGCACATGGAGATGAGGACAATGTTGAGAACTTTCTGCTGCAAGAGCAGATAGCCGCCCTTGCCCTCTCACACCTGTGGATGCATGGTGTGTGTTTTCAATGGTTTGTTTTTATTAATATCACATTGGAAGACCCAAATTGTATTCTTGATGACATCACCCCGTTTTGAGTATAGACATGAAGAATAGTTTGCATGACGGCTTGTGAGGAAGAATCACTCTTCCACCCAAAACTAGACTGTCCCACTTCTTTTTACATGCAGGAACAGAATGTGTTAGAGTAAGGGGCTTTGCCATGAGCTGTAGCTGGGAGGCTCTGCTGTATGAGCTTTTATGTATTGTCCCTCTCCTATGTCCCATTATCCTGCTAAAAAATGGAGATCATAATGCCTTTCTCACTTGTCAGTGAAGTGAAAGCCTTGAGTGCCTAGAACACAGTCTGCAAGGCAATGTGCTCAAGAAACATCATGTGCTATATTAGTTGCTTGCGGAGAAGAGAGCAGTGGAGAGGAGAAGTGAAGAAGAGATGAGAGAAAAGAAGAGAGGGGAGGAGTGGAGAGGGCAGGGGCTGGGAGAAGAGGAGAGGAGAGAATAGGAGGAGAGAAGAGAGGAGAGAAGGAGAGGAGAAAATGAAAGGTTCTCTTTCAGGCCAAGCAGCCTACTTACCGGGCTCCATGATACAGAGGCAGGGGGTCCCTGACAGAAGGCCCAGCCACCTGTGGGAATGGCCTGACTCTAACGATCACCACAACTCTTATTTTTCTCACAACTTATTCAACTTCCAGAGAAACATGTACAAAAGGAGCTTCTGCCTATTTAAATAACTGAAAATTTCCCCTCAGTATATAAGTCAGCTTCTTTATCCTAAATAATGAATCTCCCTCCTCTTTATAACCAATGTAGCTTGCCAGCACCTGGCAGCTCACCCTGGGCTCAGGAGTGAACCCATAGATAAGTAGACAAGTGTAGGGATGCTGGTGGAAACAAGCTAAGAAGGTGCACAGTGCAAGTTAGGAGCAAATGGAAAAAGACAATAAAGCTTCAGAGTTGTTTGAGAAGGAAGGAAATACGATGCTAGGCAAAGGAAAAAAACAGAAAGGAGAGATTTAGCTTGGGAAAATTTGATGAAAATAAATCTAGGAGCAGGGAGAGAAGGAGAGAAAAAAATAAGCTACAACTATTTGTATAGAATACAAACAAGTGGAAAATTCCAGTAGTCATTCTGAGGGCATGTATTTCATACTCCAGTTTTGGGTAAAGGCAATGACAAGTAAAGGCACTGATACCAGATATTTATTCACAAAGCAGTTTTCATAGTACTTGCCCGGGGAGTAGGGGAAGGGGAGAGGGGTAGCGGAGGGGTGGAGGGGATGGCAGGAGGGGGGTAGCTAATGTAGTTTTCAAACAAACAATCTCATTTACCTACATTTGGGCCTGTGCTATACTGGCAATGAATGCTTATGCTAAGGTTGTCTCATACTTTAAAAAATGTAAGTTGTCAAGTTGTGAAATATTTCAAATATTTATAAAGGTATATGTGTACACTCACTTTCATTAAATATTAATATTAGCCCTATTCATTTGGGAGAGGTAATTTTTTTTCCTTTTCAGAAACAAAGATTGCAGCTGGGTATATATTGGCTCATGCCTGTAATCCCAGCACTCTGGAGGTAGGGGCCAGAACTATCACAAGTTTGAAGCCAGAATAGATCACAAATTGAGAGTTTGTCATAAAAATCTAAGGACTGTAGACATAGTTCAATGGTAGAACACTTACTTAGCATGTTCAAAGCCCCGAGTTTAGTCCCTGGCACTGCAAAAGAAAAAAAAGTAAAAGACTGTAGTTACTGTTGAACACGTCGCTTATCCCTGAGCCCTTTCCCCAAATACTTCATTGTTGCATCATTCTGAAATTTATTCTCTTCATTCAGTGTCATTTGATGTCATATCAAAGAACCCATTGCTTAATCTAGAGTCACCAAGATTTAGTTCTTTGTTCGCTTCTGAATGCACTATAATTTTAGCTTTTACACTTAATTTTCTGAGTTACTCTGAGTTCTCTTTTATAGGTAGGGATCTGCCTTCATTTATTTGTATGGAATAATGAATTGTCCCTGTAACATTTGTTACCCCCCCCCCCCACACACACACACTCATGCACATTTCTGCATTGAGTCATCCTGACACCTTTGTTAAAATCCATGAATGTGAGACTTTGATAGATTCTCAGCTCTCTTCCACTGGTTTTTACATCTCTCTTTATGTCAGTACCACACAGCTTTAACCACTATAGCATTTGCAGTTTGAAAATTGTGAAGTGTGAGTTCCCCATTTTTATTCTCATCTTTCAAGATTATCTTGCTTTATCTGATGACTGCAGCTTCACTGAACTGATGTATAAGCTCTCACAGACCTTTCATAGATTATTATAAATTCTTAAAGACTTGTGAAGTATTTGGTTAAACCCATTCATCATTTTTGTAATGGAACAAGTGTTTTGAACTCAGGACTTTGTACTTGCTAGGCAAGTGCCTATTGTTTGACCAACCCATTTTTCTTCTTGTTATTTTTCAAGTAAGTTTCAAGCTTTTTGTCCAGGCTAGCCTTGGATTGTGATATTTTTACCTATGCCTTCTGCACAGCTGAGCCTACAGGTGTGCATCACCATGACTGACTGACTTGTCATTTTGAGAGAATCTCACTAGCTTTTTTGCCTGGACTAGTCTTTGACCCTACTTTTTCTATCTGACTGCCAAGTAGCTGGGATTACATTCAGATGAGTCACTCTGCCTGGTTTCCATTTGTTTAATTGGGTTAATTTTTTTAAGTCTTTAAAAGAAATTCTTCACATATATTTATAACAAAGTCCTTTGTCTCCCAATCCCAGGTTTTTATTCATTTCATAACTCTGGCTTTCGATGAGCATACTTTTTCATTTTGATTTGATTTTATATTTTATACTGCATACTTGCATATATTACACATACTAAGCATCTAGATTTTATAAAACTATTCCAAGTTATTCTGTATTTTCTGTCCTTTCAAACATGATGTAGTCCTTTGCAGGATTTAAATATTGTTAAAAGCTTCACTTTCCTCTAATGGAAATGTAGTTTTGAATTTATTATATTTGATATATTGAAACACAAAAATATTTTTGGCTTTGTATATGATTTTGTATATAAAATAATTATATACAATTATTTTTAACATAATAATAAAATGAATATTAAACCTACCAACACAAGGAAGGTCTAGAATGCCTGTGTTGCTACATACCATGCCTGGTTTACATTGCATGAATTTGGACCCAAATGACAGCTAAGAAAGTGGTAGAGTCCTTTTCTTAGTGATAGAATAATTAATTAAAAGATTCCTTGGAAGAAATAAAACCACATGCTTACAGTCAGCTGGTATTTGACAAAGGAGCCAAAGACATACAGTGGAAGAAGCATAGCCTCTTCAACTATTGATGCTGAGAAAACTGGGCGGCCCCATGCGGAAAACTAAAAGTGGACCCCAGCCTGTCACCATGCACTAACATCAACTCAAAATGGATTAAAGACCTTAACCAAACCTGAAACTCTGAAACTACTGCAGGACAGAGTAGGAAAGACACTTGAACTTATAGACACAGGCAGGAACTTCCTGAACAGAGTCCCAGGGTCACAACAAATTGGAGAGAGACTCGATAAATGGGACTACATTAAAATAAAAAGTTCCTGCACAGCTAAAGATTTAGTAACCAAACTAGAAAGACAGCCAGCTAATTGGCAAAAAATATTTGCCAGCAATATATCAGATAAGGGGCTAATATCCAGTAGATACAGGGAACTCAAGAAACTAATCCCTCCCAAACCTAACAAACCAATTACTAAATGGGCAAGGGAACTAAGAGAGACTTCCCAGAAGAAGAGATAAAAATGGCAAAGAAACACATGAGGAAATGTTCAACATCCCTGACTGTAAAGGAGATGCAAATAAAACAACCCGGAGATACCACCTTACCCCAGTCAGAATGGCCCACATCCTAAAGTCAGCCAATGACAAATGCTGGAAGGGATGCGGAGAAAGAGGAACCCTATTGCACTGCTGGTGGGAATGTACACTAATACAACCACTTTGGAAAGCAGTCTGGAGGTACCTCAGAAAGCTAAATATAGACCTCCCCTATGACCCAGCCATACCACTCCTAGGCATCTACCCTGAGCAACAGGAACAGGATACAAGGACATATGCCCCTCCATGTTCATTGCAGTACTGTTCACAATAGCCAAGATATGGAAACAACCCAGATGCCCCACTACAGATTGATAGATCCAAAAATTGTGTTACCTATATACAATGGAATATTATGCAGCCATTAGAAAGGACAAAATAATGTCATTTGCAGGGAAATGGATGAAACTAGAAGAAATCATTTTGCGTGAGGTAAGCCAAGAGCAAAGAGACAAAAGTACATGGCCTCCCTGATATGTAGATGTTAAATCCAAAATGCAAGGAGATATGACAAAGTAAACAGGACTGGAGAAAAAAAGGACCTCCACTTATCTTATCGTATCATTACTAAATGACCCATGTTGTTCACCACATTTATGGTGTGTGTGTGTGTGTGTGTGTGTGTGTGTGTGTGTGTGTGTGTGTGTGTGTGCGTGCACATCTGAAGGAAGCTAGGAGGAGGACACAGAATCAGAGGGAAAGGGAAAACATACAACAGAGGGGCCCATCAGCTGCAGTGGACATTGACGAAAACAAACTAAGAAACTCAAGGGCAGCGATGGGAAGGAGAGAATGAGAGGGAAAGAGGGAACAGCTAGCACTAAGCAAAATGAAAGAAATGTACGTATCACCCGATGTGGAAGAAATAGCTGTACTGTCAAAGCTCAGAGAATTCACAAACTTTATAGACCATGATAATGACAATTTGCCTCATGAAGATTAGAGTATGTTTGTGACTTTAACTA